AGTTAGCCATTGCTCATGGCGTTTTGGAATCAGTCTGACCGCTATCGTTTCTACAAGTGTACAACGTAAACTGTCACAGCCTGGCGGCCGAATAGCGGAAACAGAGGAAAAAGAACGTAATGCGCGCGTGTTTTTAGTTCCAAATGCCACGACTTACTTCCGTTACGTTAGTTATAATACGTCCTTTCTTTTCTGTCTGCGAGCGCGTAGCCGTGATTAATAGGCACCGCGTGCCAGCGACTCTAGCTCACCCTCGGCAACCCCTTACTCCCCGTCGCCTGCCTCCGCTCACACGTGCACAGGGGTTCATAACGACCCCGGCAACCCGTTGGACCGATGCGACGCTCCTCTCAAAGCGAGTCAAATAAATAAGGGAATATCACCGTCAGAAACGAGACAAATAAACGAGCTAAGAGCGCGAAGAAAACATAAAATGGGTTATCGAATGACTGGCTGTACTCTGCTGCGACGGCGGGTCTGCCGAACTGTCTCCGTAATTAGTCGAGAGAGACTGGGGGACCGGAGTGCGGACGGGACACGTGACCGCAGTCCCCTCTTCCCCCGGGTGGCGGGAAATGAGGCGTGGGGAGCGAAGCCTGGAAACGCAATTAGGGTTACGCGGAGTACACTCTTCCGGCTCCGGAAGGAGTATAGTCGAAGGGAACGGGGTTTCGGCTCTCGCGGCCTCCTCCCTTTTTTTTTTTTTCTTCACCCACGTGAAGATGGACCAGAGGTTGAGGCTACGGCTGGGCTTTGGCATATGCGAGCTTGTTCGACTGTCTGATACGTCTACTGCGCGGTGACTCGGGAAAAAGATAGCGGGTTTATTTTGAGCGAGGTTTACGATATTGCGGGGCTTTCCTCGTGACTTGTTGACACTCTAGTGTTTAACAACGTTTTGGGGTGTTTACGTCGAGATGCGGGCAGTAAACAAAGGAAGCGACACTTGGCTGCCGCGATGACCCGCTGTCGTGGCTCAATGTAAACCTCCCGCAAAGTATACTCGATTTTAATCAAACTGTACTGTGCGGCGGAGCCCTCATTTTAGTTAGAGCAAAGTGTGAGTCGGCGTTTTCCTTCGGTTTAAACTTTATTCAGGGTGTAGGTTACAGGTCGTTAATGATGAGCGCTTTGTTCGATGTTGCTCCTACGTCACTCTCATCCACAAGCGCAGGTTTTCGATGACTGTGAAAGACGTACCCCGCTTGCTAGAGCCAGGACATCTGCGGCGCCGTCTAGCGCCAGAGAGGTCTAAAACGTACGCCGTTGCGGTGTGGGTTTTAGAAGGAACACGGTGGCGGACAGCAGCAGAAGGAACTACAAGATAAAAAAGGTTTTCGTCGATAGTGCTCGGGTTGGTCGTCGCTAGTTGTAAATGACAGCATTTAGAACCGTGGGGCGATATTAAGGGGGCTGTATGCACCGAGCAGCTCACCGACCCCTCTCAAACTAAAACTCTTGTCGCATCATGAACGTCTATTTAAAAAAAAATGTGCCGTCATCTTCAGCCTACTGAACACGGCGTGTTCTTAGAAAGAGCCAGGGTTCAATGTCTATAAGCAAGCACGTTTCCTTTCACGGAAGTGGTGGGCATTGCGCTTGCGCTGAGACCCGGTTTGAGAAGAAGCGAAGCTCTTATACAGCAAAACGAAATTATCCTAAACAAGATCGAAAAAAAACATATCTAACGTTGGGGATTTTTATCGATTTTTCGAAAGCCTTTGACCGCCTGATCATAAAATTCTACTGGAAAGACTTTTTTTTTTTTTTAATGGAATTTGAGGGCATTCTTTTGCACTAGTTGAAAGCTTTTTAAGCTGTCGGCAGCAAACAGTTGAAATAAATGGGTTTTCTTCAGTATTGAAACAGGGGTACCTCGAGAGTAGTGTCTTGGGACCACTGCTTTTTACTTTGTTTATAAATGACATTGCAAGTAGTACCTCATTTGCCATTTATGCCCACGATACTAGTATTTTTTTTTTTCGGGGAACAATATTGATAGGTTAGCTGCCGGTGTAAACATTTGCCTAGTGAATCTTAGTTCGTGGACTGTTTCCCATTCATTGAATATAAATGAAAGTGAAGCAAAAGCCGTTATCTTTAAATCAAAAGATGCAGTTTGTAATGCTACTGCAAAGTTAATATTGAACTCCTTGAAAGTTGAAGTTTTAAGTACTGTTAAAGCTTTAGGTGTAATTTTTCACGAACATATATTATTGGACTCCCATATTCAAAACCTTACACTTAAACTCTCGAATATTGCAAGTATTCCGTATAAACATCGCCATATATTACCATCCAGCGTGAAACTCTTAATTTATAAAGTATTATTCAATTCTCGAATATGCTACTGTCACCTGGTGTGAAAACCACGACCAGTAGGAACCTTAATAAACTGTATTTATGAAAGAAGAGGGTAATTCGAATCGTAGCTAATACGTCCTATTAAGTAAGCACACACCGAACCACCTTTTGTAAAGATAAAGTAATAAAAATACAAGAATATTTAATATAGAAGCTCGCCACAGTATACGCGGGATCCCTTAACATTTTTAACCGCTCATTACCACGGATTTCTAAATTAAGTATAAAAATATTGTATATGGGGTACGCGCGGTGCTGGGTCCTTGAGAGTACCTCGTCCTAGAACAAACTACGGGCCTCAAATGGCACAGCATACACTACCAACGGTAACACACTTTTTAAAGGGCCAAAGTGTTTGTCTTGGTGCATTTGGCATGCAAAGTATTAAGCTCATACTTTAAAATATTTTCTCCCGCATAACACTGATTGTTTCTTCCGTACTTTCATATAGTATTCTTTTTTTCCTGTCGGCCGATCTGCGTGTAGGGGGCAGGGGCTTTGTCAGGCTGCATTTCTGCAGCTTTATTTCCCTGTCTCCATCACCCATATGCACGATGGGAAGACATAAACGAATTGAAAATGCATAGTTTGCAAGCAGCAACCCTTGCGAAGCTAGTCTAGCAAGGCTTGACTACCAGACGGTCTATACACTGGCCAGCAGCCAAGATGGCGGCTCCCACAGGTTGTAGTCCTTACAAGCGACTACGCGCGTGCTTGGTTTCACAGCCAGCGCGTCGGCATGACGTCACATACACGAGTCGGTGGGTGCAGTCTCCCCTTTTGGTTCATCTCGGGACCAAGCGCGACGTCTAAAGGGGGGGGGGGGGGGGGGGGTAAACGGGACGGGACGGGGTATATCGAAATCAAGAGGGGGAAGTACATTAATGGTGGCCCCGCGGTGGTGAGGAGCCGGGGTTCGCATGTTCTATGTACGCCCTAATGTGCACGATGTGTGTGCAGTCAGCCTGGGCGGACGCTTGCGGGACCGCTAATTTTTCCTGCGCTAACAACTTGCCTTAGGGAAGGAGGGGGGGGGGGGGGGGCGTTCTTTCGGGAGAGGCGGGGGGGGGGGGGGGGACGGGGATCGGAGATAGCGGTTGATGGGGTGCGTTGTTTTGTGAGCCGTAAACGGTTCGTAATGTGGAGATAAACTGTTTTGGGGACAGGGCTGGAAGGCTTCGATGCCGTATAATGCCGCTTTGGGTTGAAAAGAGACTATGGGAGGCTTTGTCTCGTGCGATCCCCTATAGACTCTCGTACTTTATGAACTCGCACATGTTACTGTTTTCTGTGTTTGACGTACGTCACAGCGGTTTGGGGAATATTGCGTCGTTATGCTACTTGTCATTCTTGCTGTCAAAGGCTGATCAACGAGAAAGAATACTCTCTTGCTGACAACTGGACTTCACTGAAATAAATGAGACAGGCGCCCACCATATTTTTTTTTTTTTTTACGATATCGGGTTAGCTTGACGTCGGCTCATGGATACATTTTGTATTTCCCTTTTACCCTTCGATCCAGGTGACGTCATGTTCCCCAAACCTTCGGGTTCTATCACCACCACCAGGGTCACATTCTCTCGGAGTTTGAGCTTTCTGAGATGCGTAGTTTATATACGCAGTCCGAAAGACGCGCTTCTCTTTTCTCCCAGAACGCGGATACTCTAGTCTACTTTGGTGTTTCAGAAAAGTGTACAATGGACATTTTGCGTTTACTAGCGCCGTTTTGGGAGTTGCCTGAGAACTGCAAATGACGGGACAGCCCAGCATACCTCTCCACCCGTCAGGAAAACATCGGCATCGTCCCGTTATAACGGTTTCCGTTGCTTTCTTGTATGCTCCGTAACGAGCAAACAGGGGTGCTGAATATGTTGGTCGCACGGGGCAGTGCCCTCCTAGAATGTCGACAGCATGAAGCGAATGCCAGCGGAGAGAGTGAAAGCTTACAAAAAAAAAAGGGGGGGGGGGGTTAGTTTTAAAACATTGTATTTTTTTACAGCGAAGCATGTTATGGGGGGGGGGGGGGGGGGGGCTAGAGTTCCGTGGATTTTTCGTGTGTGTGACCAAAACCTCTGCGCTCGCACCGCACCCACGCTCCGCACGTGTCGGCGTCTGTAGCAGTAGCTGTTCTAAACTAAAAGCCTAAAACAAATGGCGTCTTGCACGCGCGTTCGTCAAAGCTTTATTTTGGTTATTTACTTCGAATCCTTTATATGGGGAAGGCGTGAGCGTGTGGCGCGTGGAACACTATTCCCTGCATTCTCCCTGAAGTTGCTGTTCTCCATTTTCAATTTCCTTTCTCTCGTCGTAATGGGGAGACCGCGTATAGTCGGGACTCTCGAAGAGCAACGCGCCTACGAAGAGCAACGGCGGGAACGGCAACGAGAATGTCAACGGCGGCGGCGGGCGGCACGCGTGTCTGCGTACCTTCCGTCACGATGACCACTGATCATAACAATAAATCTGTTCGTACCTTTATTCAAAATTCTGTGTCAAGTTTGTGTCGTGTGCTACACAGCTTCGCTGGTTATCCACCTTCACAGAGTGGAATGGCTTCAAATTTGTTTCTGGAGATTCAACCTTTTTCTTCCAAAAAGAAAGAAAAGCGTGTATTTAGTGTAGATGGTCTTGCGCAGTGCCTGGGGCGAGGGCCTGTTCCTGCTGCTGGAGACTGCCCTGATCGCGGCCCTGGTGCTCCGCTTCCGCGGCCAGTCCGGCCGTGCCGCCGCCTTCACGCTCAGCTACGCGGCCCTGCTCACGCTGCTCCTCTCCAAGCTCGTGCCGGTGTCCGTGCTCTGGGCCGCCCAGCTGGCCAGCGTGCCGGTCATCATCTCGGGAAAGGTGAGCTGGAGTCTAGCGGCGAGATGTTGTGGTGGCGCCCTCCTATGGTTTCCTCTCGTGACGTCATTACCTTGCGAACAACAAGTTCGATGGTGTTTGTAATTAGCATGGTGGAAACTTGAAATCTTTGGGCTCTTAAAGCAACACTACCAGCACCGTCGAAATTGAAGTTCTTCCATTCCTCTTATTTCTGTCGATGAGAAAGCCTTTGCTGACGTCATAATTAGTATCCGTACAATCGTGGAAGGCCGACCACAGCGACGCTTTTGATCGCGCACGTCGCCAATAGGGAGTATTCACTGGCGGCCATATCCCTGTGCGCTGCTGCTGAGCGCGTGCTGACGGCGAGCTTCCGCAGTCCTTTTGGAGCGTGCATTTACACCATCAAGGTTGCCGGTCTTAGCAGGCTACTAATGTGAGCTCATTCTGAGCATGCGCTGTAAACATTGCCCTCAAATATGGCATCCAGTGAATACCTCTTATAGACCTTTCCAATGTTTACAAATCCACAGCTCAGCGAGCGATCTCCACAGCTCAGCACGCGCGTGTGCGTCGCTTCGGAAAGCGAGCAAATCACGCGCGATACGCACGAACATTGAAAATGAAACCGGCCAGCAGCCCTTTTCTGGAAAGGTCTATAGGGTTGCACTAGCGGACCCGACGCTGTAAAACGAGCCGGAAAAATCGACACGTGCACATAAAAAGTCCGAACTTGCATGGAATGTGCACTGAACAGGTCAGTTTTACCGTGTGAAATTTCAAGGCGTAGTTCTCTTTCTGTAAAAAATTGGAGCGAGAAACTGGCCGAAGTCTACGTCCGACTCGGACGCGTTCGCAGACGGTCGAGTTGGCGACGACTTTAACTAGTGGCGCCATCTCCCGATAGGTGCAGCGAGCAGACAACATAGTGCATCGTCTGCTCGCTGCCCCTATCGAGAGTTGGCGTCGCTAACTACATCGTCTGCTAAAGTGCCCAACGTTGACTTCGGCAAGTTTGTTTTGCTTTGACTTTTTTTTAAATTTATTTATTTTTTTTTTTTTTTTTGCAGGAAGAGAAGTGTTTTTAATTTTCACACAGTAAAACTGACCTGCTCAGTACACGTTCGGTGAAAGATCGTGCACGTTCACTACTTGAGCATGCTGAGCGCACATTCGGTGAAAAATCATAGGCGTACACTTCTCGATACTGCTAGCGCGAACGAGCTTTTGTCGGTGTTTTCGGTTTTTCTCGGAAAATAGAATGGCTGCCATAAAAACTGCTGATGTGACGGAAATTTTTTATTGAAGGCACAAACTTAAAGGTAAATTCCGGTGTCTTTTCGATGTTCTGCTTGTTTAAAATGTGAAAAAAAAAAGTGAAGAAACAGCGCTCCCTTCGACTGCCAGCCTTGGCATAACGTAAGAAAAAAAAAAAAGGGTCGGCATATTAATTTAAGAAACTTAGAAACAGCACTTCCTTTATGCGGCTACGTGATGCCTTGGGGGTTTGATAGCTCGTAGTTTTTTTTATCGCTTATGGTGCTTTGTGATTGCTCTTGGCGTCGACGCTGATGTGTGAGGGGGCAGCGTTTATTTCGAACCTCTTGGCAAGCTGACAAGATCCAGAGGGAACGGCTGTGCTCGCCGTTATCTGGACACGTCGTTTGGCCGTCCCACGTCTGGCCTGCTAGCTCAGTCGGTTAGAGCGTCGTGCTAATAACGCGAAGGTCGTAGGTTCGATCCCTGCGCAGGCCAAGCATTTTTTTTTTTATCTTTTAATTATAATGCCGTTGTGAGCAGTTTTATAACGCACATGAGTGGAAAAAGTACCTCGTTAACTTTAGAATTGTCGCATTGAAAAGTGAATTTCGGTAGAATAATTAGTTGGCTACCTCCCACCGATAATTGGAAAATCAACGAATCACTTTTTGCTTTACATATATATATATTTTTTTTCAGCTGTATATTTATGGTGACAAAGATCACAGAATAGAACGAGTCTCTCAAACTTGCGTTCCATGTTTATTTTTTCTATTTTTTTGGCACATTAGAACAAGGCGTGTACCTTAATTGTTTTCCCTTTCATCTTCATTCGGACCGTGTTAAAGTTGAGCAGTACTTGAGAGATAAAGTTCCGCTTAGCCCGACATGCCACTTCCAACCTTCGAGAAAAGAATAGTATTAAATTATTAGAATAGATTATTGCCAATTGAGTAGAGAGAAATATTAGCTGAAGTGCGAGGAACGTTACTTATTAAAAAAAAAAGTAATCGAAAGATTACCAAATTAAACTAAATACTGTATAACGGATCACAAGCCGGTTCCCATGGGGACGGGAGACCGGCCGGGCGCCTTTGGGCAGGCGTGGTGGGGCCATTGTTGTCTTCTACCCAAGATACCACACACCAGGCATCGTGAGTTCTCCATGCGCATAATGCTAAAAAAAAAAAAAAGAAAAAAGCCTATTATTCTGTACTAAAACTTTAATTGGCCAAAGTTCAGAAATAAATATTAGTTTAAATGATTTCGCTTTCGTGTTCTATCATTGCGAAGGGTTTCTTCTAGAAAAATGCTAGGGTATGAAGTGCACGAAGGCGAAAGAGCTCGAAGAAAACAAAAATATTAACCCTCCAATTTCACGGCTACCTGAAAAACGAAAAAGGAACTTGCGGTTGCTCTTGCTTTTTAATCGGGCCGCCATTAGCGGAAGAGCTCGCTGAAACGAATGAAAGCGTACACCACCCTGGACGGGGAGGGTGTAGACTACAAACACAATAAGAGATTTGATGGTAATGTTTTGGGCTGACAAACTTACGATGTCCCCGGCTATTTTTTGACATCACGAGATCTTCACTCCGAGGCAGGCGTAGAAATTCCGGCAACTTGTAGTAGGTTGCGGCTCAAGGAGGTCGGGCGAAGGGAAGGAAGGCCGGGGAGGAGGAAGCGGACGAAACGCTGGAGAGAGGAGAATGTTTCCCCCTCTCCACTCCAGCGTTCCGTCTGCTTCCTCCTCCCCGGACTTGTTTTCCCTCGCCCTACCTTCTGGAGTTGCAACAGACTATTCACCACATTCGGTGGGAGTTGATACCACGAGGGCGCCACAGTATTTGGTGCCCCAGTAAACATCCGGTAGTGTATTTATTTATTTTTCAGCAACGCACAGCGGTCGGGTAAGAAGAGTTTCCTTCAGAGAAGTTTCTGTAGTATGTTTGTAAGAACATTAGTGCATTGTACAAAGTAGTGCAAATAACAAAAGGAGGAGACAAATGGAAAAGAAGAGGGAAACCGGAAGCGCGCAGGGGTCCGCCGATAGGGGGTGGTAGTGAGCTTGTTTCCAAACAAACTCGACTCATGAAGCACAAACACAAAACATCGGAGCTTCGTGTCTCGATCTGAATGTGCCGTGGTTACAACGGGGAGATTTAATAGAGATTTAATAGACCGTACGCTGTATAGAGCTTCGCGTTGCCAGCGGGATAGTCGGGCAGTCACTTCAAAGCGTGGATTAAGCAGTCACTCCCTCTATAGCCCGGTATCCGTAACCTGTATTGTCTACAAAAACTCTATCACGATGCGCTGCATGCGCAAAGGCGCCGGAGGAGTATAAGCTATTGTTATCGGATCCGTTACCGGAAATATGTATACCTATACTCCCCAATGTCTGTTCTCAATCAGTTGGCTCACGTTTACTTTGAATACGTGTATATGTCGCTGCAACTGGAAATACTTGAGCGTTTCGCTCTCCGCCCAGCGTGGAAGCGATTGATTCTATCCGCATGTAAATATGTGGTCAGAGATCGCGTCGTCGTTTTCTTCTTTGTGAGGCGGGCAGGCGGGGTTGAACCGTGAAGGTCGTCTGGCTTCTACACGTTTCCGCGCAGGCGCGCGTCCAGCTCATGCTGGCGGCGCCGTGGCGATGAGGTCGCGCGGGGGCAGGCACGAAGTCAATCAGGCGACTCCCGGCCGACGCCATTCGTCTTTCGGGATATCCCTCTTCTCGGTCGAGCGTCGCTGGTCCGCGGACGAAAAATTTGCGCGTGAGCGAGACTCTGCATGCACGTGCGTCTGCGCTGGGGAATGCGCGCGATCGTCGCTGCAGGCTGGGTGGGCTGAGGGTGCAGCAGCAGCGATCAGAGCTGGGCCCGTGACTCCTCGGGTGACCGCCGGTGGTGACGCGGATAGGGCACTACTATGAAGTATGAACCATGTGAATCGCTGCAAGGAAGCTTTCTGGATGGATGGATGGATGGATGGTGGCCGCGCTATCTTTGAATCGGGTGTTGACTGGCGACTCCTGCCCAGGAATGTCCTCGACGCTACGCTATGAGCCCCGTTTTGACCCGCCATCTTGCGGTTTCTTGGCGAACAACAACGTTCAACCCTATGGAGTAAACTTGGTTTCAGCTTAATTACAGAATAGAGCATCATCTGAGGCGTCAGTCACAACGCCTTTGCTCTTTATGAACATGCACGGAAACGTGACGAATAGAATTACAGTGCGCTTTTGACGCGTTCTGATTGGTCTTATGAGCTCGTAGCGTCGCCTGCGTCTGGTCTTGAGGGAGGTGAAAAAAAAGCATATCGCAACTGGTGTAACTAACCGAAATGAGTTTCCAATCCGCCGCGACCAGGGACAGGCTCACGCGATGGGTCAAAGCGGGCGATCGTGAACCCCGGCCTGGGGCCGAGCCCCTTTCGAGAAACGCTGGGACCCGAGCGTATCAATCGCACCGCGGATTGGCCAGTCCGACCCGCGCAGCGACCGTGTATAAACGCGTAATCCGATTGCTCGCGATGCACTCGCCGCCGCGCTTCGGCCATCCGTGTGTGTGTGTGTGTATCCGTGCACCGCGGCGTCGCAGTGTGCAGGGGACGGTCGGATGTCCCCCGTCGCCCTGAGTGACAGGCGGCGGCGCGCCGGTGCCCGCCTTGTTGCTCACGCTAATCCCAGTCGCCGTCCCTGCCGAGGGACGTCGGTTCAGTGTCCCTCCGCCGTCGCACGCCCCGCAACTCCGTTTGCA